CCCCCAAATGAGACTGAACATTTACATGACAATTAATATTTTCTTGTGTATATCGCAGATATTAACAGAAAACAGCAGCGTAGAAGGGGAATAAAACTGCCTGGTAACTATTACTGAAAACATTAGTTTCATTGATGTTTGAACTGAGTGAGTGAGTATGGTTTTATGCCGCTTTTAGCAATATTCCAGCAATATCACGGCGGGGGACACCAGAAATGGGCTTCACACATTGTACCCATGTCGGGAATCAAACCCGGGTCTTCGGCATGACAAGCTAACGCTTTAACCACTAGGCTACCCGACCGCCCCATGTTTGAACTGAGTTTCTCCACTAATTCATGATGTCTGACAAAGTTAACTTGTGAATGGTTATAATAAGCGCCCAGATAACTTATTATTATTATGGCAAATACTGTAACACAAGTAGTTGGTAAAACCATGTGTATTTGGAATCTGGAAGTCTTGTTATTTTTATAAAACACCTCATGATTTTTGTACATCTACATGTTTACAGGCTTCAAAACTGGACACACTAGACTGGGAAGACTATAAGTCGTGCATGAATATTGATCACCACCCGTCAACAATACCAGATATATCACGACGACCTGTACATGATCCTGTCTGGGTCGGACAAACCAGTGATTGACAGCATGACCAACAACCAATACGGGCAAGAGGATGCCCCACAATCAACCGAGTGTCCCCTAAATCAGTGACAAGAAAAGACTACAGACGACCAATTCAATCCAAAAGTCCCCACATAAGAAAACCGTTTAAGCACTAAAGCCATTACACAGTAAATATATTCATAAAGGACAGTCACCCTAGCTGTCAATTTTATAACACGATAGTTTATCCATGTTTGTAAAGAATAAAAATGCTCCTCTAAAATCCTGCTCTTGCCACTAAACCCATCTCATGGGGAACCAAATCAATACATTTGAACAGGTTTAGCAATGAAATCGGAAATGTGACGACGATGTGTCAGTCAATCCTAGTGATTGCCAGTCAAGAGTACACACCCCCTGCAGTGTAAATCAATACCTAAAACAATATTTGCAATACACTGTAAATGATAAAAATCATAATTGAGTGTCTTCTTTGAATCCTGGTATGTTTAAACGACTGAAAAGTCTTATCTAAATTGCACAAAGATTTGAATTGCTCAAAGAACCCACTACTTGTGCCATGTCACTGTACTCCACAACGCAAAGCATGATCTGGATATCCCTGTTAATCAAAATACATGGAGAAAGGGATAATATAGTAAATGGAGTACCTCAGCATCCTCATCACTTATTATAGAGGCATGTACCTATTGTTCTCCAATATTCCAGCTACATGACAGCGGTCTGTAAACAATCAAGTCTGGACCAGACAATCCTGTGATTAACATCATGAACATCGATCTACACAATTGTGACATGACATGGATAAACCAAGTCAGTGAGCCTGACCACCCATAAGTCGCATCTTACGACAAGCATAGTCGCCTTTTTAGGCAAGCAAGGCATCTGATGGTATGGTTTAGTATCCTGATGAGATTTACTTTCTTCAGAGGCAGAAAGACAGGAGAGCCCTTGAGGGCTTTTGCTTTAGCAATTTAATCAAGGGCCTCTTTAAATCCTTCCTTCTTAAGAATAATGATAAGGACTCCTTGATTGTCACCGTTTATGAACACTGCATTTTTAAACACGCTTTATTTGAAATGAAATCCATTTGCTATCCATCACACAGCTGCACTCAGTGCCATTTCCTACAAACAGATTACAGTGTTGTAAGCAGAAAATTTCATGATTACAGCAAATGTAATTTTCTCCTTGATTCATCAAAAAGTCTGTATAGAGATCAATGTCACCACGTGAGTATGGAAGTGGATTTATAATAAACATGCCTGACATTTATGGTACACAGCCTCTGCACTTGAAACGAGGAACCTGTCGTCGATGTCTGTCAGGTCAGCGTGACAGACGAGGCAGACAGGCCATCAATAACGCCTACAGCCTGTCAATCTCTTGGGATATCTTGTTCATTTACTGCCAAGTAAACAGGTTCAAGAAACGAGTAAATCACGCCTACATTTCAGCCACATGTGTCTCCAGAGCAGGTCATGGAAAACACATTGCTCGTTTTAATTAATTGTAGGTGGTAAGGACGAGGGCTCCTGAAGATCTAAAGACACCCTGCACCTCTCTGGATCTAAGGACACCCTGCATCTAATTGGATCTAAGGACACTTCACTGGATCAAAGGACACCATGCATCTAATTGGATCTAAGGACACTTCACTGGATCCAAGGATACCCTGCATCTCAAACAATCTTAAGACACTTCACTGGATCTGGGGACACTTCACTGGATCTGAGGACAACCTGCATCTCAATGATCTAAGGACACTTCACTGGATCTGATGACAGCATGCATCTAATTGGATCTAAGGACACTTCACTGGATCGAAAGACAACCTGCATCTGAATGGATCTAAGGACACTTCACTGGATCTAAGGACACCCTGCATCTCATTGGATCTAAAGACACTTTACTGGATCTAAGGACACCCTGCATCTAATTGGATCTAAGGACACTTCACTGGATCAAAGGACACCATGCATCTAATTGGATCTAAGGACACTTCACTGGATCCAAGGACACCCTGCATCTCAAACAATCTAAGGACACTTCACTGGATCTAGGGACACCTTGCATCTCATTGGATCTAAGGACACTTCACTGGATATAAGGACACCCTGCATCTAAATAGATCTAAAGACACTTCACTGGATCTAAGGACACCCTGCATCTAAATGGATTTAAGGACACTTCACTGGATCTAAGGACACCCTGGATCTCATTGGATCTAAAGACACTTCACTGGATCTAAGGACACCCTGCATCTCATTGGATCTAAGGACACTTCACTGGATATAAGGACACCATGCAACAAATTGGATCTAAGGACATGTAACTGGATCTAAGAACACCCTGCATCTCAAAGGATCTAAGGACGCTTTACTGGATCTAAGAACACCCTGCATCTCAAAGGATCTAAGGACACTTTACTGGATCTAAGGACACCCTGCATCTCAAAGGATCTAAAGACACTTCACTGGATCTAAGGACACCCTGCACCTCATGGGATCTAAGGACACCCTGCACCTCAATGCATGGCACAGGCTTGGCAGCTAAACAAAACAAAACTGTCAAGGCTGCCACTTAATGAAATTCATCCACTGTGAAAAAGCACATTAACCTTTAGCCTGTTGAATTGTTTTAACGCTTCTTACCTCTGCCTGATAGAAAAATTCACATTTTCATATAAAAATATCCTGACATTTTCAAACATACAGAGGTTAAGACGAAAGCGAACATAAAACTTTGTAAATTTTCTTGAACTTACCTGAATTACGTGATTGAATGTGTGATGCGTTTCATATTAGGAACCTGTTCAATCGTTAAATTTGTGCAAATTAATTTCAATAATCATACCTCTGAAATGGTAGTTTTAACTGGGCATAGATTCACATTTAATTTATCAGCAAACAACAACGGAACGGTAAATTATGAACATTTCATTACATTTTTTATGCAAATGTTAATTTTCGAGGTCATGATGTCAGTTGCAGAAATGAGTATATAAGGGTTAACCTAACGTATCATGTCATAAAACTTTCTGGATATAACAAACAAGTTTTAAATATTCACCAATCCTAATTTCAGGTGTTTTGGTTGAATATTTTCGCCATACAAAAGTACAAATCCTGTGTCGTAATGCTTGCAGACATATACGAAAATCAAATATGGTGCGCTTATTGCTTATTAGATCTGAGGTATTTATTACGATGTAGGCATCAATGGGTTTTCTTTGAACATCTTCAAAATTCCTGTGAACCTTAAATGGTTTGTTTACGTTTTGCAAATAACTTGAAGTTCTAAAAATCATGAAATGATCGACAAGTTGTCATCATAGTTACTTGTGGAGTGTGCTTTACCAATGTACTTTATGTTGTGTCTGTCCAAACAACTTTGCAGCGATGTTTACTTGACTGAATGATGGAAGTATGTGTCGTTTTCCAGTTGGGGAGTAGCCAATTCTTTGAATGAGAATTCCCGTTCTTATTATACGGTTGAATTTTAATGACATATTCTCTCTAAATCCAGGTTGTGACTCGATATATGCAAACTTCAGTATAATTTCATGGTTGATCATATTTTCAATAGTTTTTTTATACAGCCACATCGCCACCACAATGTTTTGGAACATCACCTGTGCATGTTGCACTGATGCCAAACTGCTGCCATTTTCAATGAGCCATACTTTTGAAAAGTAGCGGTAATTTTTAATCTACGACATCCCGATGAAAAATCCATCAAATGTAGATAATTTGGTATCATTGTAAAGCTGTCAATCGGAATATGTCGTTAGTTCTGACTTCTAAAACAATGGTAATTGACATACCTCTGACAAATATGGGCATGGAACTTTCCAGTTGGAAGGTGTAAATACAACATAACTTTTGCATTGGTTTCATTACCAACTTCCAACTTTTTTTATGTTTCTTATTCCCTTGCTGATGTTTGTCACTGACAGAAGGTAGTCCAACATGAACTGGGACTAGTTGTCTCCAGTTGGTCAACATGAACTGGGACTTGTTGTCTCCAGTTGATCAACATGAACTGGGACTAGTTGTCTCCAGTTGGTCAACATGAACTGGGACTAGTTGTCTCCAGTTGGTCAATATGAACTGGGACTAGTTGTCTGCCCTTGGTCTGCTTCTTCAAGGGCAGCCTCAGGACTCCACTGAATGGACACAGACTACTAGCCCCAAGATGTGTATGTAGTGATAATATCCTGTGAACAAGTAGTGTGGTGATTGTTAAGGAGAGTGAGTGTATTTGGTTTTACGCCGCTTTTAGCAATATTCCAGCAATATCACGGCAGGGGACACCAGAAATGGGCTTGTTAGGTAGAGTGAAAGAGAGGTGGTTAGGGCTACTTACATGCTGCCTCGTCCACCGATAACTGCAATACAAACACAATCAGCTGATCAGAGGACATGTCTAAGTGGAGCCAAGTTGTCTAGGAGGTACCTCACACTTCCCACCACACACAACCTAAAGGGGTATTACTGGCAAGACTCTCCGTGACCGATAGATGGGGGAAGATCATGTACGCCAAATAGCAGGATGGTGACAATTTCAAGAAGCGTAGATTTGATTGCATAACAATTTGATGACATGGAATTGATTAGAATGATCAGATTGAATTATCATTGACACTTTCAAGGATTTCTGTGACATTGATGTAGATAATCACCTCATTGGCCAGGATGCCACCGATCTTGCTGAATGCCGGCATCTGGATCCCATACTTCTCCAGCTCCCGCCTCATGGCGCTTATCTCCTCCTCTGAAACATACAGACCATGTTGGAAGCTGGTGACACACTCAAGTTCATCACACTTTCACAGTTGCTAAGTCCACATAAGCATGTTTCATAATTTATTGAAATACATGATCATAAAATATACAAAAACACAGTTTGGGGTTAAAACGAGAATGTTTAAATTCATATACTACACACAAAAAAGTTAAAGGACTACATTAATTTTTCTCAAATATGCTATAATGCCGGCAGGTCACAATAGCCCGGGTATAATGCCATGAGCTCACAGTAACTGTGCTATAATGCCATGAGGTCACAGTAACCCTGATATAAAGCCATGAGGTCACAATAACCCTGCTATAATGCCATGAGGTCACAATAACCCTGCTATAATGCCATGAGGTCACAATAACCCTGCTATAATGCCATGAGGTCACAGTAACCCTGCTATAATGCCATGAGGTCACAGTAACTCTACAATAATGTCATTACACAGTAACTCTGCTATACTGTCATGAGATCACAGTAACTCTGCTATAATGCCATGGGGTCACAATAACTGCTATAATGCCATGAGGTCACAGTTACTGCTATAATGCCATGAGGTCATAGTATCTCTGCTATAATGCCACAGTAACTCTGCTATAATGACATGAGGTCACATACATAACAGTAACATGTGTTCTACAAAGACATATGGCCATATTCAATTACTCCTTATAATGTGGCCTGGCCACATTCAATAGCTCCTAAAGCTACCATGTGGCCAATTCCACATCTCCATTACGCCAGATGGCCACAGTCAATACATAATTAATTAATAACTTCCATCATAATAATAATGCTGCAAGCTTATATGCTATCATAACACTACCGCAATCTCATTCAATAATTTTACTGAAATCCCATTTAATTAACAAAGTTGCATTATGAGACATGCTGTCTAAATGGCCGCCAAATCCATTCTCGCCACGTGAAGATGTGATTTCACTCTTACATGTAAGCATTGTTTGTGTTAATCTTATCAGCACACAAAACAACAAAGAAGTGACACAAAGTAGCAAGGCTAAGCAATAATTCTTCTCTTTTTTTGCACCACAATACATGCTTAAACCGCTGTCATGTGTGTCATACAAAGGTCCCTCTATCTTTGTGAAGGAACCAATGTTTTTCATGTACTAAATCTCTTTAAGTGCTGAGCCTGGCAGGGATCAGCGTGTGAAGGAGATTACAAGCGCACTTCCTTGAAGATTACAATTAAGAATTGACTTCCCAAGTTTTTTGTGCGTTTTTTTTAATGGAAGTAAAAACTTTAAAACCTGTGCGCATGCTGGGCAACCTGACAGTCGATTAACGCAAAACGTGCAGAGCAGATTTTACGTTTATTACTTCATAAACACAAAACATATTGAAGTCAATTCTTCAAAACAAATGCGTCAACAATAATAACTTCACATACTGCTTATTTAATCATTAAAATTGAAAAACTGTTGACAACAGTATGGAATCAGTGACACCATTTTACACAAGCCCCACCCATTATATTGTCATCCAATCAGGAAACAGTCGTCTGTTGGTGGACATGGCCCATCTTTCTTTCGGTTTAGGTAAACAGACACACACGAAACTGCTTGGTTAGGCTATCAAATGCCACAGAAACACTTGCAATTGTTTATTCAGGTCAGTTTTCTGAGGCCACAATAAATGAATTATTAGATTTTCATCCAAAAGAATTGATTAATCATTTTATAAAAGGCATCTGTGTACATTAACTCATTCAACACCAGGCAACCAGAAGCATTTACTTCTGTGACACCGAGTTCCCTGACACTTGTGTGACAGATGAAGCCCACATTAATAAAGGAAAATATCTGCTTGTAAAACATCTTTGCTACTACATGTTAGACACCATTTAAAAGGTCTAATCCTATTGTTTATAAATGAAAGTTATGTTTGTCACATTATTTAATTAAAGCATTTACAACTCAATTAAGTTTGTTCATGAATATAAAATGTAAGCTAACACATTCATAATGTCCAGATTAAGCTCCAAGGAAGTGAAACTTTGACGATTTTCGGCAAATATAAGATATCATAATATCCATCTACCTATTTCTTCTTCTTTTTTATTATTGAATTGTAAATATTATCTGTCATCACCCATTACCCGATAACAGTGGCTTTCCGCTCAGTAAAAGGAGAAAATACAGAGGAATACCTCCGTCTTTCAAGGCTTTAAATGAATAACGAGTCATCTCGAGTTGCTTGATGTTTGGCATCATTAGGAAGCTTATGCATTCATTTATAGGACAGGAAGAATTACAGCAATGGTTACTGTCCTTGAGTATGAAAATTTACAGATTTAGGCAAAAGGTTTTGGTCAAATCATGTTATTCCTATAATCCTGTGACCTATATTGAAAACTGGAACTTTGTAGATGTATCGTGCCAGGTTATGAGCTGTGGCAGAGATTTCTCATGCATATATTTTGGTATTAAACGTGTCTGAGCCAAGAAATCGAGGCGGTGAGAGCCAGGATGTCATTTGACTTGCATTACACATTCACAAAAAAAAAGATGGAAATAATAACTTGAAGTAAGTTTGACAAATTGAAGATATTTTTATTAATTTTATTTATTACTTTATATAATTTATTTAAAGATTTGCTTAAATGTCTTAAATTTGCTCTTTGACATGTTTGATATTGACCCGCTGTTGAAGTGTGTGTGTGAAAAGTATTTTTTTAATACCTTTCCAGGAAATAGTGAACAAATTTTTCATCTTTTGATAAAATATGATAAATTTCAGATATTGTGAAATGTCATAAATGAATCATAGACAGGTTAAAAAAATTTAAATACTATTTTGCTGTGGCTACAGCTTGGCCGGTCTACCGCCCTGCAGTGTCTAGGGAGTCATGCCTTGGTTGGTGTACCGGCCTGCGGTGTTGAAAGAGTTAACTTATAGCTTAACCTGCAACAAATATATTTTAATGCTTATTTGTACACACCTGTGAAGTTTATTTTTCCGTAGAGATCTTGTATCTGTGGGGCCAGCCCAAGCTTGAATAGGTATAAACTGAAACAGAAGCCAGACAAGGGTTACACATGAAGTCAGCACACACCATTATCTTGTGGTCGTCTGACAATTATAATTAATTTGTTTGTTTGTTGTTAATGCCTCACTCAGCAATATTCCAGCTATATGACGGCAGTCTGTAAATAATCAAGTCTGGACCAGACAATCCAGTGATTGACATCATGAGAATCGATCCACACACTTGGGATACGATGACATGCATCAATCAAGTCAGCGAGCCTGACCACCCAGTCCCCTTAGTTGCCTATTACGGCAAGCATAGTTGCCGTTTACAGCAAGCTACTGAAGGCCTATTCTACCCCAGATCTTAACAGGTATTAATACTTCACAGTATACCGATATACTGCAATACGCTTTTTAAATATTTGTAATATTATGTTCACAAAAATTCATCCACAATTCACGTTTCCCTTCGAAATTGATTGACAAAAGGGGGAAATGAGGAATGAGTTTTCCCACAGGATTATCTCCCCTGTATCTATGACAACACAGCCCACTTATAGTTTTTGATTGGCCTCTAGAAGCTGCAGCTTAGTCACAGTAAACAATCAGTGAGTGAGTGAGTTGGCTTTACAGTCACGAGGAACAGTATTTCAGGGATATCATCTTGTGTGGCTTCATGTGGGAAGAATGGCAAAGGGACTTAGCTCAGAGACGGGAAGCTAAGACAACCAACAGATTCGACCCGGCTAATTCTGCACAGCCTACGGCTGGGACCTTCACTACAGGGCCACCTTGGCCACTGATACAATGTGGCTAAAATACTGCCGATGTGACTTTAAATATTAACTCCCTCACCACTGATACAACAGGGGTAGATTTAACAACAAATTTGTTTGTAGCCAGCAGGGCTTGCTCCTTTCAAACGTTACTGGTCCTTCTCCAAACTAACTGTCCCAAGACTAAGGTACCCAGTGGCTCCAAATATTTTAGAACTCCTCACCCCTAAATAACATTTCCTGCACTGAGAATATATCTTGGCTTCCATTTGCCTCATTTTGTGGCGATTTCATGAGCAAGTAAAGATGATGTTGTACAGAACATTACAAAATGGCTGCTGATTGTGTCATACTATGGAGATGATTTTTCAATTAACCATTCACACGACCTGATCCCCCTTAAACTTTATCTCATCAAAATAACATGATTCACGGGCAGTGTCCAATTAAAAACATTAAACATACACAGAAAAGGGGTGAAATTTTGACAAGCCAGATGGGTCATCTACTTTAGGTTTCAGCAAGCCTTTCGTAATTTTAACTAGCCCCGGGCCAACAGGTCAGCAGTTAAATTGAACCCTGTACAATGCTATGAATGCCAGCACCTTTGCCATGCCTTAGTGTAGAGTCAAGATATTGGATTCAACTTCCATTCTATTTATGTGCAACTTCCAAGTCAGCAAGAAACCTCAAATGGTGTGTATGAAGTATACAGTGAGTGAGTGAGTTGGGTTTAACGCCCCTTTTAACATTATTCCAGTTATATCACGGTGTGTCAGCTTAATGTGGGAGGAAAGCCCGAAGTGACGCAGGTCTTAGACTTTTACTACTTCGGTGAAACCTATGAGCACGGGTATGGTGCTGACAAACCTAGAAACATAAATGGGGCGAACTGGGATTCGAATCCACAATCATAGGTTTCTTGCATGCCCAAGGGATGCAACTCTGCACAGCGAATCACGGCGCCTCAGACGACTGGGCCACCGTGCCCCCTAAAGTATACAGAAGTTGACACACAAATAGCATGTGTCCCTATGATCCACCAACTAAGTGCTTATCAAATATACATAAAAAGTCAATGCCAGAAAAAAAACTGTATAATAATACAAGTACAAACAAATAAGTTCCTTCAAGATTTAACAAAGATAGTATGACATGAGAAGCCTACTTCAACTAGCAACTGAGAGACTCTGTGCTGCTTGGCATGGCTATGACCAACTCACCTCAGTGCATGTATACAGTAGACAGCTCGTGGCATGTTTTTTCTGTCATAAATATCTGTTGTTTCTGGATAAAATATCTGCAAAAATCAATGATTGTGTTATGACTGATCCATCGTGATCAACACTGTGTGGGATCACATTTACATGGTGGCATGGGCAACAAACATACATGAAATACAGTATTGTTATCATCAGGTATCAGGCATCACTCACAATATAAAATCTTAAATCCACGTTTTTAAAAACCCTAACAAATGCAGATAACCAAATGGAATAGTTTCAATAAGGTAAAGTTTATTTAAGCCTTTATTTAAGAAATATTGCACTTTCTGAATGCTATCAGCATTAGAGCTGTACACTGAGTGAGTGAGTGAGTGAGTGAGTGAGTGAGTGAGTGAGTGAGTGAGTGAAATGGGTTTTACACACCATCTGCACTAACAGAATAGAATCACTAAATATACCATCCACTTTTCACCTCATCTTTCAATTCCCAAAGTGTAACGTCTTAAAACCAACAATGGGTAATTATCTTTGTTCTGCCTGGCAGGATAGTTGGAAAAGTGACATTTCCACAGGGTTGTTGTATTTACCTGTGGTAGTCCGATCTCGGTCATGGCAGCAAACCAATGGTTGATGTTGTCTGTGTGTCGGAAGTGGAGACCCTTCGCCTGCAAACGTAAGACAAGTCAGGAATCTAGTGCCGAAACTGTCACATGTATACATCTACAGTCTGCTGTCTAAACCAGCCTGAGGTCCCCTGGGTAAGACAAGCTGAACATACGGAACATACTGAACATGATGAACATTGATGAACATTGATGAACATGCTTGGGGATTACATCAAAACAAGAGCTCCCACAGGGAAATTGAGAATAGGATGCAGGGAATCTCTACTGAACTGGAACACCCACAGACAAGAAACGTGGGTAGCTGGGTTTTGTCTTAGACTATTTTTTTTTCTAGTCTCTTAAGTCCTACACATCTTACAAATAAACCACTGCTCACTTTTTGTTCATGCCATTGGACATGTACTTAATGTGCATGTGGGAAGGTATAGTTATTGTGAAGGTATAAGAATTATTCGCTGAGTGTTTTCCCATATCATATTATATCATATATTAGGAATGAAAACTTGTATTATACAAGTCTTTGGCAAGCATAATACATGTACTTTATTATTCTAATATGTGATATTTATGATACAGGAACACGCCCGGCGAATAATCTCTTTATCATTTGTCATTCTTGCAATAATCAATGCTTTAGTCAATAATTTCTCCATTGAAGTAACTTTAGACACTGTATATGAAAACAGTGTTGGAGGGAACAGCCCCTTTATCAAACTGTATCAAATGATTTGCTGGTGTGTTTGTCTACATAATCACATACACCCCCGTAAACCCCTATCTGCCATATTGGGAACATTGCTTTAATTGAGCAAGCAGACATGCATCCATGTATAAGGCAGTGTTTGAAATAACTTAAAACCCAACTGGACAGTTAGGCTGATGACCAATAAATGTTGCCTGCCCATCTTCAAAGTTACCTGCCTGCATTATTAGACGTTATAGATATTGAAAGTCACGAAAAATAAGAGACAAATCGTGTCTTGATTCAGTTGAAATAATGCAAACAATTAATTGAGAATCTACAAGGAGTTATAATAAAACTGAATACGTAAGTAGTCTTCAAATTATCTGCTAGACAGTCGGGCAGGTGGAGGAAAATTTCAGGCAGCCAAATTGAAAGTTACAGGCAGTTATTTCGGACACTGGTGTAGAGATAAAAAGTACTTCCTACGAGGTGACCTCATTTACATATTTATCAGTTCCAAGTTTATCGGATTGGTTTGATGCATCAATAATACTGTCCATTGTATGATAAATCCCGTATGCACTGAGGATCCTGTGACTACAGGAGTCCCTTAGGCTGGCAGTCCAGACTGTCATGTACTCCTACAAGCCTCTCTATCATGTTGACAATTCCCTGTCCACTGGCCAACAACAAGTGTCAATAACAAAATGGTGTTGATATATTCTGCTGTTGTTTCATCGTCGTAGGCATTTCAAATAACTTATCACCTACTTGTCAGCCATCCCCATGGCTTGATCAAATTAGTTGAACAGTTTTGAAGTTAAACTGAAATAAGAATACTTTGAAGTTGTTTCTATTTTACATCAGTCTTTTGACTCCAAGAGCATGAACCATCTTTCAGCCTCATTTTCAGCAGTTGTTCATGTTAATATATGGTTTATTATTGTCCGAGTTTACTTGACCGAAAGAAATTTACCAGTGGTTTAAGTGGCAGTCTGTTGTAGCAAATCTTTCTCTATTTTTCCTCAGAGTCTGGACCAGACAATCCAGTGATTCACATCATGAGCATCAATCCACACAATTGGGATCGATGACATGCATTAACCAAGTCAGCGAGCCTGACCACCCAATCCCGTTAGTCACCTCTTACGACAAGCATAGTCGCCTTTTATGGCAAGCATGGGTTGCTGAAGACCTATTTTACCCCGGAATCTTCACGGGTCTCCTCAGAGTTGAGACCCTTTATATCAACATGAAAATATGAATAAAAACCCTATTTGTACCTTGTAGCGCGTCTGTTCTCTGTCATATATTCTCTTAAGGGAGACAACTTGTGGTGAGAAGAAGCGTCCCAGCTTGGCCAGAATGACGCCATTCCGGAGCCCCTCCTCCAGCTCTATGGTTGGTGGCAGGTCTTCATTGATACAGGCCTGGATCCATCTGCAACCAACACACAGCTTACAGGCCTCGGACATCAACGGGTTTGGGTTTGTTTAAGATTCACATATTGACAATTGTTTCAACAAGACATTGATGATTAATGATTGACCATGAAAGAGAACAGAAAAGTCATACTAATTAGAGCATTTTTTAGCGGTATCATTCATTAAAATAAAACAAAAAGAAACATTCTAAATGATATTTTATAATATTCTGAAACAGACACACATATCTAAGAAGTTAATAAACATAAAAAAAAAGTGTACAGATTTATGCAAATTGTGCACACCGTCTTTTTCAGTTAATAACTCCATAAAGGCAAAGAATATATTAAAGTCAATTTTTAAGCTCAGATCTCCATATTTCTCCTTGTCACACTCAGGTTACCATTCCCTCACATGTCTCTTTCTATTCATAACTATAAGTTCACAGCGGTGGGGTTGCCTAGTGGTTTAAGTGTTTGCTTGTCATGCCGAAGACCGGCTTCAATTCCCCACATTTCTGGTGTCCCCCACCGTGATATTGCTGGAATGTTTCTAAAAGCTAAAAACAAGACTCACTAACTCAAATACTTAAGAGGCTTAACTTTCTTGAAACTTGAAATACAGCACTGATGCTGAGAACCAAGCTGGGCAGGGCATAAGTTCTCAAATAATAACCTACAGTGATAAAGGATGACAAATGAATATTCCATTGTGTCTTTTGATATCAGCACTTGATGATAAAAGATTTTTTATGACTCTTATCAACACTGTTACAACTGATATCATGACACTCTGGGAGATCCTCCACACTGGTACAAGCCGTTACACTTGCTACATCAACCCCTACTTCATATCAACACCTACTTCATATCAACACCAACTTCATATCAACACCAACTTCATATTAACACCTACTTCATATCAACACCTACTTCATATCAACCCCTACCTCATATCAACACCTACTTCATATCGACACCTACTTCATATCAACACCAACTTCATATCAACAACAACTTCATATCAACAACAACTTCATATCAACGCCAACTTCAGATCGACACCTACTTCATATCAACACCAACTTCATATCAACACCAACTTCAGATCGACACCTACTTCATATCAACACCTACTTCATATCAACGCCTTCTTCATATCAACGCCAACTTCATATCAACACCAACTTCATATCAACGCCTACTTCATATCAACACCAACTTCATATCAACGCCTACTTCATATCAACCCCACCTTCATATCAACCCCTACTTCATATCAACACCAACTTCATATCAACACCACCTTCATATCAACGCCAACTTCATATCAACACCAACTTCATATCAACGCCTACTTCATATCAACACCAACTTCATATCAACGCCTACTTCATATCAACCCCACCTTCATATCAACCCCTACTTCATATCAACACCACCTTCATATCAACGCCTTCTTCATATCGATACAACCAGACCCGTGAAGATCCGAGTAGAGAATAGGCCTCCAGCAACACATGCTAGTCATAAGAGGTGACTAACGGGATGGGGTGGTCAGGCTCGCTGACTTGGTTAATGCATGTCATCGTATCACAATTTTGTGGATCAGTGCTCATGATGTCAATCACTGGATTGTCTGGTCCAGACTCAATTAATTACAGACCACCGTCATATAGCTGAAATATTGCAGAGTACTGCGATAAACAACAACCAAACAAATCAATACAACCACAACATAAAATTAACAGAGTGAGCGAGTGACTATGGTTTCACTCAGTTTTTAGCAATATTCCAGCAATATCACAGCAGGGTGAAATTAACAGCAGTCTGCTAGTTCAGGGCAACAGAAGTTCAAGTAGTATAGTCTTTCCTTGCAAACTACTACTTTTATTATTACCTTTTTTTCAGATTTGTGAAAAACATAATAACTTCCATTCCAGACAACTTTCTTTGTTGGACAGAGTAAACAGATACAAAAAATAAAGTCAGAAATCCAAGTTCTAAACATTTATAACATAGTATTATACCCCAACATCACAAGACTTAAACATTACATGACATACTAGTGGAGATGTGACCTTGATGTGACCTTCAAGGAGAATACCACAATGGTATCATCTATCGACTTGGTAATGTTTCACACAAATATTCACTGCAGTTCAAAATAACCATGCATGTACACTTGGTTCCGAGGTAGCTGACAGTAGTCTTAATGTGTGTACATGACAGAGCTGCTCACGAAGGAAACTTGAACAGTCTTTCCTTCCGAGGAAAGAGGAAACGTCAACTCTCAGACACAGCCTGTTGTGTTCGACATGAGAGGACATCAACAAAAGGAAATTCTAATATGACTGACGGGTAAAAATAGCACATCAAAATATACTCTTGAGAAAAATGGATGTGTTAATCCAAATATACTTTTCAGTCTTGATAATAATTGTAAATAAATAATTTATTTGTTAGCTTGACGTTTGACACCTCACTCAGGAATGTTCCTGCTATATTATGGCGGTCTGTAAATAATCCAGATCAGACAATCCAGCGATTGATATAATGAGCACAATAAACCCCATCAGAATACATTAACATAGAATCAACCTAGTCACAGAGTCTGACCACCAGATTAAGAATAAAGTACTCCAGCAGCAAACCGCAAGGACCCTAGCCTTGCTCCAAGGCTGTACTGAAAGAAACGTCCATTGATGTGTAGTAATTCTATCCTCCTAATAGGCAAGTCTAGATTTGTAGACAGTACTAAGGACTCCAGTCTCTTAAAGGGACAACTTGTTATTATTTACATAATATAGAAATAATGATTTAAACTAATAAGTATTGGTTTAGAGACTTGTGCAAGTCTACAAGGCGCCCATCATCCCTTTACTTTGTAACTGTCTATCCTTGATAAACAAACTCAAAGCCACAAGAAACCTAAACTTCAAAATATTTCAGCTTGTCTGCCTAATTGTCACCACAACGTTAGCAGCTGCAACGTTAAGTATTCCCCAGCATCAGCGGGGACTGTCCCACCACCAGCATCAGGGGGGACTGTCCCACCACCAGCATCAGGGGGGACTGTCCCACCACCAGCATCAGGGGGGACTGTCCCACCACTAGCATCAGGGGGGACTGTCCCACCACCAGCATCAGGGGGGACTGTCCCACCACCTGCATCAGGGGGGACTGTCCCACCACCAGCATCAGGGGGGACTGTCCCACCACCTGCATCGGGGGGGACTGTCCCACCACCAGCATCAGGGGGGACTGTCCCACCACCACCACCAGCATCAGGGGGGACTGTCCCACCACCAGCATCAGGGGGGACTGTCCCACCACCAGCATCAGGGGGGACTGTCCCACCACCTGCATCAGGGGGGACTGTCCCACCACCAGCATCAGGGGGGACTGTCCCACCACCAGCATCAGGGGGGACTGTCCCACCACCTGCATCAGGGGGGACTGTCCCACCACCAGCATCAGCATCACCATCACCTTTTCCATCAACAGGCAGCTGCCCTCAAATCTACATCTGCGGAGTTTGTCCCTCTGTTCGCTTCCTCAAGTAAAACTTATTACAAGGCTAAAAAACACATGGAAACTATTTTCCCCAAAAAAACACCTGACAGATTTTGAGACATTCCCCTGTTGAGGACGAGAGGTCTCAATGCAGTCTCGATATAGAAGAAGTGAATGTTTAAACATTGTTTAATCGAAGCCCTGGCCTTTTCCTCAATACATAGAGGCAACAATTGTGGGAGAGGTGACCTGATATGGCGCAGGTGTAACAGTGAGCGCCCAGTGCATCATGGGAACATGGGCGGTATGGGCACACGTTTCCAAAAGGTATCATGATCAAAGAAAGACACGAACAATGTAGCCCTCTATAGCTCACCTTGCTTGAAGTGTTTTTGTATCTCGTAAAAACACATTACTGGGCAATCGTACAGCCAACATTGAAGCTAACTGCATACAAATCCAAACAGATATGTAATGCAAGAAAACATGATTGATAACGGCCATACACATGCTCAACACTCTCTTCAGTGGTAGAAACTGACATGTTTGGTCCACTAGTCCTTATAATGACAATATATAGCCCTTAAAAATGGCAAATATGTACTAGTCCTTTTGATACCTTAACTGTTGGGCGGTTAGCTAGCACCAATTTCTAACCCTGCTCTTGGGTCCAGTGTATTGGGTATTCAATATATTTGTAGCAAGCATACACGCACCCATACCCACCCACAGCCTCACCCATCCACAGCCTCACCCACCCACACCCTCACCCACCCACACCCTCACCCACACCCTCACCCACCCACCCACACCCTTGCATCTGTTTATTTGTTATTGATTCAAGTTTCCTATGTCATCCATATGTGCATGTGTATCGTTTTGTATTGAAACATGATCTGACAGTGACACTCATGTTGTGGCAGTTCCTTGAATCTTTACACCCTAGTTACAAAACACAAACGTTATTTGGTTTTCCCTGAAATAAATCAGATAGACAAATGTATGAAGTAATACCACTTTTATCCTGAAAGATCAGAACAGCATTTCTTTTCATCTGTTTAGACCTGACAAAACACAGTCTGAATTGCTAGACAATCTTATATTAAACAATAGCTCCGTGCAAATTTGGATAAAGGCGTCCACATGCTTTGGGGGATTCCTGAACACAATCAGAAACCTCATGTGCAAAGTCTGCACCCTTTTCATCTTCTTTACTTTCACATCAATCAATATTTCTGTGGCAATCTAGTATACCAGGGCTGATCAAAAAGTTCTAAGCCTAACTAACTTTCAACTATGGGCCATAACAAAGTGAACTTGTCAATGTAGTACATTGCAAGTGTATTTGGTCTGTTGAGGCCGTTTGTGTATCAGTGACAGTCAGTTGAATGTGATAGGGGTCCAAATGGACACAGAAATAGAAAAGAATGAGTACCCTGCAGTCATTAATCTTTTGCCTTTAGTTTTCTTTGTTTGTTTGTTTTTTAGCGCCGCACTCAGC